AAGCTCCCATTAGCTCAGACACACTGTCTCAGTGGGTGGACCAACCCCTCGTGGTTCTGACTTCCTTGTTCATATTCTCCCTCCTTCTGGTCTTCAGCTGGACCTCAGTCCAGTGCTCCGATGTGGGTCTCTGTCCCCATCCATCACCGGATGAAGGTTCTATGGTGATATTCAGGATCGTCATTAGTCTGATTACAAGGATGGTTGAGATGGAGGAAGGACAGATATGGGAGCAGGAAAAGAGATATCTTAATTGAGGGAGTCATTTTGAGGTTGGCAAGAGGCTTGGCTCTGGAGGGGTTCCCAGGAGTCCATGGGGATGACCCCAGCTAGGGCCCTGAGCAGTGGAGGAGAGGGTGCCAAACTATTCTTTTAAGTTGGTTTAATGAAATTATTAATATTTACTGAAGGTGTCATCTGTTGAAGTGCTTGTCTATTTTACTTGATTAAGGTTTTTTCTTTCTAACAGCCCCACCGTCACCTAACCCCCAAGGTCATAACCTTGCCCTCTGCTACCTCCTCTCACCCCTGGCCCTGGCAAGCAGAACTTCCTGGGGCTGTGAACTCTGTTAGTGTCAGAGGCAGCATACACGGAAAGCATTGCTAAAAGAAGCCATTGTCAACACTCAGCATGAAGGACAGCTTGCTCTGGTACAGCCGTCTTTGAGTCGCTGAGCCTCTGTTCAATCAACAGTTATTTATTTGGCTTCGGTTAAGGGCTCAGCAAAGTCCCGTGTGACCTCTGCACACACAGCCAGGCTAGGAGTAGAAAACCTCAAGTTGTGCCCATCAGGACCTTGAACCAGCTCTCAAGGTTTGAAGAAGTTTGACGGACGACACAGAAGAGTTAAGTCATCCGAGGACACAGAAGGAAAGTCAGTAAGAACTAGGGAGAGCGTAGAAAGCACCCAGGTAGATTAAACAAGGACAGAGAGAGAAATACAGATTTTCCCCCTCAACTCAAGTGAGAAAACTTCTACAACAAAAACCAAGTCTCTACCTAGTGTTTGTATGTTGGTTCCATTAATAAACTTATCAATCCAAATACATGCTCACCTGTGTAATTGCTTGGCACTTTACTGTAATCAAAGAATATGTTTGATGATGAAAATTATTTACTAGCATTTTAGTTTGGTCATCTTAACTACATGTGTTTAGAGTGACTTGGCACTTAGGTGGAGATATTTAAGACCTAAAATTAGAAATAGGAACTATTGAGTTATTGGCACGTCTCCACTAGGAAATTGCAGTGTCTTATGTAAACACAGTGTTATAACTTGTAGTTTTGCAGTATGGTGTCATACAATCATCTCCTTTTTTTAAAAAAATCATTTCCATGCTTGTTTATAACCTGCTTTGATCACATTCCTCCCCTGTTACCTTTTCTTATTCCCCCTCCACTCCCCCTTTCCCCTTTCACAGCCCAAATGTCCCCTTACCTTTCAAGTCTCCCCTCCTTCCTCCACACATGAGAGAAAATGTGCCACACTCTGAGAAGGACTTACGGGACATAGCAAAATGATCTTCTGTTCCATGAATTTTCTATCGAGGGCATAATTTCACTCTCCTTTATGGCTCAATACAGCTCCACTGTGTATATATGCCACATTTTCTTTATTTGCTCATCCATTGATGACATCTAAGCTGATTTTGTAGTGTGAGTGTTGTGAACATCATTGCAATGAGCATGGATATGCAGGTCTCTCTGTGGTATGCTGACTTGGACTCTGGGTATATACCCAAGAGTGGTATAGCTGGACAATGTGATAGCTCTAATTTTGTTTTGAGGACCCTCCATGCTGAATTTCACAGTGTCTGGGCTAATTCCCATTCCTACTAGCAGGGTCTAAGTGTCCCCCTTTTCTGCATTTTTGTCAGTTTTTTGTTTTCATAAAACAGATTTACCAGTCGGTTTTATGAGTAGTTCAGATGTATAGTGTTTACAAGGGTTTATCCTCATAACGTAAGCCCCATCTCTGCTTTTCTGCCTTTTTAACCTATGGAATGAACAGTGACTAACTGCATCTTACCTTTGCAGGGCTTCTGAAACTCAGGGTGCCCCTCCAGTCAAATCTCATAACTTCATGTGTTGCTTATTCTTAACTTGACTTTTAAGTTTTATTTTTTTTTTCATTTCACTGACGGAGTTGCTTCTTGTTGAGAAGAGTTTGCCATTGTATAAGCTTTTTATTATAAGACAGTGAGGGGGAATCTTGGGGTGCTTCAAGAAGCATAGACGGGAAGCTCAGGCCTGGGTGCAGATGAGGAGACAGACTGTATTTTATGGCTCGCTGAGGCTGTGCTGAACTCTGGAATACATGATGAGTTCCTAAAATTGTTTGTATGAAAGCCCTTTGTTATTGAATCTTCAGTAACACTTGATTCTGCTTAGTTTTGACTTTATGGAGCTCCTTTCCTACCTGTGTGGCTGAATTTGTTGTTGAAATTTGGAATGTCTGGAGAAAAAAGGAAGAAGAAATATATTCGCTGATCTGTAACATAAGGGGCTGCTCATTGGGGTTTCTGTCCCACCCAGTACCCCACAGCTGGCAAGGTCCCAAAGAAAATCACACAGAGGTCTCCATAAGTTATAAAACTGATTGGCTCATTAGCTCAGGCTTCTTATTAGCTCTTTGTAGCCTATATTAACCCATTATTCTTATCTATGTTAGCCACATGGCTTGGTAACTTTCTCAGCGGGGCATGTCACATCTTGTTTCTTCAGTGGTCTGGGCTGGACTGGGGAGGAATGGGTTTCCTCCTTCCCAGCATTCTCCTGTTCTCATCTCCCTACCTCTACTCTCTGTCTGGTTGACCCGCCTATATTTCCTGCCTGGCTAATCAGTGTTTATTTAAAATATGATTGACAGAATACAGACAATGCTCCTGCACCACTGATCTTGACACAGATTTTAAAATTTTTCTCCTGAGATCAAACTTCAGACAAGAGGGTTCTTGGTGACAGAAGTCTAGAGCAGGGTTTCCCACAGTGATGTGGGATCATCGGACTTCTTGATGATTTTTCCCTTTCTTCCTAAAAGGCTGCATGACATGTGTTTATCTCTGAGTATAAATATCCAAGAACTTGTTTTTGAAGCTGCTTTTTTGAGACCATCTGAACCCATTTAAAAAATATCATTGTTAGGCGGGTGGTAGTGACGCACACCTTTAATCCCAGCATTGGGAAAGCAAAGGCAGGTGGATCTCTGTGAGTTCAAGGCCAGCCTGGTTTTCAGAGTGAGTTCTAGGACAGGCTCCAAAGTTGTAGGAAACCCTGCCTCAAAAAACAAACAAACAAACATCATTGTTACATTATACACGTACATACATAAATACATCCAACTGAAGATCACTTGGTGTTACCCATAGGTGTTTAGAGCTGATCTCTTGAGATTGGCGAACCATTCAGGGGTCTTGTCTTTGAAGATGGATTCTCTCATAGCAGCCTTTAGTTGCCTGCAGCTCTTCTGTGGAAGGAAGTTTTGGAGAATCCCTCATTTACTCTGACATGTCAGTTGGTGCTGTCATTGTTTCGGGTCTTGCTTAGGCAACCACATTGTTGCAATTTCAACACACTTTCCCTGTCATTTATAGAAGACACAATCTGAGCCCTTGGACCCTTAGACTTCTCTCTCTCTCTCTCTCTCTCTCTCTTTCCCCCCCCCCCCCCCCCCCTTTTCCCCCCCCCCCCGCCCCCCCCCCCCATCTCCCTGAGTCTGTTTCCTGAGACTTAGGTGTGGGTCTTGTAGAATGCATCCACTGGTACTAGGTCCCACACAATCAGTTCTTCTCTGCATTTTGACCATTCATGAACCCACTCTTGAAAATAACCGAATCACCCTGGTGTCAAAGGGACTGGTGACTCAGATTACCTACACTAACTCCGTGCTAGCCTTAAATGGTCACCCCCTATAGGCAAATGCTGGAGGGAGCTATGCAGCTGTGCATGGCAGACTTTGGTCTAGAAGACAAATCTGTTGTATCCCGGAAACATTTCCTTGTCCTGTATCCTATGGCGGTCCATTGATTTCACTAGGCCGGTGGCAGAGCCTTAAGACTCTACATCCAAACAGGATGGTTTTAGCTTAAATGACTGGTTCCATTTGCCACCAGATGGCACCATAGTATTACCAGGAAATGCACACAGGTTAAACCGATGACTTCATCAACCAGAGGGAAAAACAAAGCCGCTATCTTTAGAGTAGCTAGGACCACAATTTACCCTTTGTAAGCTTGATCAGAAACAGCTGTCCAGCCAGAGCATCAGCAAGAAAACAACACAGACCCCGAGAGGTCAGAATGCTTGCTCCCATTGAGCTTCCTGTTCTAAGTTTTCAAATTGACCTGTGAATAGTGTTGCCGTATTAGCTAGATAATGGCTAGGATATTTCTCAGGGCTCAGTGTCTGGTCTATAATTGATTCTGTACCAACTCTCTACTCATCCCATAGCTGGTAGAAAGTAACTTTGGAGTAATTTTTGAAAGGTTTGTGTCTGCTGGTTTGGATCTTATTAACTAGGCTGTGTGTGGTAAGAGTGAGCTCATTCTAAACCGTGACAGCCCTTGCTCATGTCTCTTGGAATGGACAGGCAAAAATCAAAGGGCACGCATATCCCTGAGTTCAAATGACCTTTCTGAAAGATGAGTGTTCAACACAGAGCATGTAGGTGATGCTTCCCATCAGATCTGAAACTTTGATCCCAACCTCTTGGAGAACAAAAGTTGCAAATGAACCAAATTCTACCATGGGCAGTTTTATTCCCACGCTCTGAAGTTGTTCCTTGTTCCTTATTTTTTTTTTTTTTTGCCTTCCCTTTAGAATGAGTTGTTGCTCATAACAATCTGTACTTTGTTAGTAATAAGAAAAGATTGGTATGAGTCTACAAACAAAACTTGTCCTTAGTTCAGAAAATTGTTCAAAACTTTCTCAGGAAATTATTCCAACCAAAAACAAAAACAAAACAAAACAAAAACCTTCCTACTTGCTTCTTGTTTTGAAGGAAGACTTACCAGTCAATAGACAGGCGGCGACGTTTACCTTGGAACAGCTGGAACACTTGGAGACTTGCCTGAAGGAAGCAGAAGAGAAGGCTAACGCTCTATTGGAACAGGTAATACCTGTCATGGGGACTGGAAAGATCTGCTGCTTGGGCTGCCGGACAGCAAGTTAAATGCTTTAGCCTCTGTCCCATTGACCCAACACAAGTGCACACACACACACACACACACACATGTCCATATACACATGTACACACAGACATACACACACAGGCAAACACATACATACGGACACATGCAGTCACACACACAGACACGCACACACGCACACACGCACACACACACAGACACACGCACACACACAGACACTCACACCCACAGACACAGACATGCACACACAGACACCACACACACACACACACACACACACACACACACACATCTCCTTTGTTTAGTATAACAACACTTCCTTTAATCTGTAGAGAGCTTTTTCAGCCTCGAAAGCTGCATTTTTGTGCTTTATTTGGTTTTCATTCACTGCAAGCCCCTCTGGGAGTTGGGTGGGCCTTTCTTAAATAAGTGGTTTTCCTGAAGAAGTAATGAATATTCACATTATAAATAGATAAACTCAGAGGTAAATGAAAACCTAGCAGAACCACACATTTTTCTTGAATCATTCTAGGAAAGTTTGATCTGGAAAAAGGTCTTCAGATAATGGCTTCCCTCTTGGGTTTTGCAGAATTAAGCAAAGCAGGTCATAAGTGGTGTTTAGCTTATGTTGATGGGACATTGCAGAGCAGGTGTTCCCTGTATATGGCCAGGCCTTGATTTTAGGCACAGTGGATATGGCTACCATAAATTCTCAGTCCAGAGCTGGTATCATTTCCTAATATCACATTTTGAAAACACACAAATAAATAAACAATGTGATGTTTGTTGTCGTGAATTTAGAGTGCAAATCTTCCCAGAGCTGGGTCTCCCCACTTGGCACAAGGGACTGGAGAGAAAAGGACAGGGGACCCTGGAGGTTGGAAATCTGTATTAAATTCTCATGGCTTGACGGACTTCAATAGACTTGGGGAGGCGTCATTTCCTGAGGCTTCTAGGTTAACACAGGTACTTACACATCTGAGCCTTACAGGAATGTTTCCAGGGGATTGTAGGAAGGGAGCATGCATGTCATTTCTTCTCAACCTACAAAGCAAACGTAGTGTCTGGGGCCTGCTCGTGGAGCAGTGACTAAAAATGATCAAAGCTATGGTTCTTACAGGACTTTGGTCAATCAGTAGTGAAACTGTGGGGCTCTTTAGCGAAAGTGTCCATCACAGATCCACGCCTTGTCAGCTGCTGTTTCCCTAAAATAAACCTCAAACAATAGCAAAGTCATAAATTATATACACAATAATGACGGGCATGGAAGATTATTTCTAACTCCTCGCCAAGGAAGACCAGGATTTCAGATAAGTCTTGAATGAGGAACTAATGGAGAATTCCCTGCACTAATGTGTGTTTTACAATCAATTGCTTTCTATGACCAACTCCCTGTACTCTCTTAGACAAGATGCTGCTATATAGTCCAAGTGGCCTCAAACTCACTATTTATCCAAGGCTGACCACAAGTTCATGGTAATCCTCCTGTCTCAGTCTCCTGAATTTTGGGATTAAAAGTGTGTCTCAACACACTCATCTCTGCTTTTTTATTATTAAAATAAGTGAGATTTGATTTATTCATAAAATGTGTGTTTTATAAAGTATTTTTATTTGACACAAATGACGCTTAATGCTTGAGTTGGTAACTGGAACATTCACTCGATATATCACCAAATAATTAGCTGTAGTTTTTCAGCATTTAGAAAATTAAATGGAAGCTAAAATGGACATGATTTCATCTAAATTCTTTTTTTTTTTTCTAAGCAGTAAGAGGCTAGTGAGCTGCTAGGAGAAGAAATGTGTACAAGCTTGGTTCCCAAGTAGCTCACAGAAAATAGAATCAGTAGGCAGGTAGCGAGGGGAAATGGGTCCTCTTAGGACTCGGGTGAGATGCCGGCCAGCATTACCTGTTGCTGACCTAACACAGCTCTTGACGTTTGAGACTTGTATGACAAAGTAGCCTTAGCTAGAGTCTGGCAACACTGTGAGGAAATGAAAGAATGATGTGTAAAACACATTACAGGGATTTGCAGTATTCCGTTTTTAATTAAGTTGAACATTTTCTTGCATTTGGCTGCCTCTATCACTGCTGTTGAAACAGACCAATCAAACACAAACACGGCTCTCAAAGGGTTTCATCTGAGATTTTTGGCTCTCTGCTCAAACTTTATCTTTGAAAAGAGAGAGAGCTGTAGTTAGCTGAATCTAGTAATAACCTAGTTGAAGTGGGAATTCGTTTTGGATGGCTTTTAGGTACTGTAACTTGCAAAACGGGAGTTATGGTAATTAAGCATGCCATACACACTGGCTGTGGAAGAATAGTCATGATCCCACGCAACAGTTAGCTCAGAGGAAGGCAAGCTGATAGCTCGACTTTTCTCAGTTATTGCTTCTGTCCAGTAGAGATGAGGCATAGACACAGTCAGGGCCCTACAGTGGCTTCCATAAAGCAAGGCTTTTGGTAGAAGAAATGGAGAATGACAGAAACTGGAAGGAAAGAGCACAAATGATGCTTTCATTTTTCCTTCCTTCCTTCCTCCCTTCCTTCCTTCCTTCCTTTCTTCCTTCCTTATCTATTTATTTATTGCAGACAAACCCAGTTCGTTCCCCCTCCCTCCTCTCCGCCCACTCCCCCCGTTCCCCCACCTCACCCTTCATCTGCTCCTAAGAGAGTTTAAGGCCTCCCCTTGGGAGAAAGCAGTGTGAGCTTTCAGACTCCCTGTTCCAGGTAGGCATAATTTTCCTTTAGCTGATGGCATGGATGTTTCATAAGACCCTGGAAAACATTCCTAACTGCCACCCTGTAGTTTGTGGGACAGTTATGTTACACACAAAGAGAAGTATTTTCCTGTATTTGTCTGGTAGTAATGTTACACACAGAGAAATATTTTCCTGTAGTTTGTTGGACAGTTATGCTACACATAAAGAGAAGAATTCTCCTTTTTCTCTTGGAGTCTCCCTGCATGAAAATCTCTCATCACAGATAATGAGGATGAAGCAGAAAGTGAATGGGAGGAAACCTAAGTTCGTGTGTACATCCAAGAGTGTGACAAACTCTGTACCACACTGTAAATGCTAGTCAGTGAGTGAACACAGCATCTTCTGTTTCTTTTTTATAATTATACTTATTTTATTCATTTGTTATTCCTTTATTGTGTGTATGTGTGTGTATATTCGTGTGTGTGTATGTGCCTGTGTGTATACGTGTATTTGTGTGTATGTGCACATACATATTTGTGCATGCATGTATGTGTATGTATGTGTATATGTGTGTATGTGCATATACATATGTGTATACATGTATGTGTATGCATGTGTTTATGTGTATATGCGTGTATGTGCACATACATACTTTTGCATACATGTATGTGTATGCATGTGTATATGTGTGTGTATGTGCATATACATATGTGTGTATGTGCATGTGTGTATGTGTTTATATATGTATGTGTGTATGTGATCTGTGTGTTGGTCAGAGGGCAGCGTGCAGATGTTGTTTCTGTTTCCACCAAGTGGGTCTCAAGATAGAACTCGTGTGATCAGCTTGGCTGTAAGCACCCTCACTCCTGAGCCATCTTTCTGGGTGAGGGTTAACTTCTTTCTTTTTTTTTTTCCAAAGTTTATTAAAATACAAAAATCTCCATTTCTGCCCCTCCTCCCAACACCCTCCCACTCCCCCCACTCCCTCCCCTCCTCCCTCTCCATCCCCAATAACAGTCAGGGTCTCCTGCCCTCTGGGTAGTTCAAGCTCCTCCCCCCTTCCTCCAGGTCCAGGAAGGTGAGCATCCAAACAGACTGGATCCCAAAAATCCAGTATATGCAGAGGAAACAAGTCCCATTGTCATTGTCAATGGCTTTTCAGGAAGACTCCAGGCCAGCCACATTCAGAGAATCCCGCCTCCTTCAGAGAATCTGGCTGGATTACATGCTCGCTCAGTCCCAGACAACTGGCCTTGGTGAACTCTCATTAGATCAGTCCCCTTGTATCAGTGGGTGAACGCAACCCTCGCGGTCCTGATTTCCTTTTTCATGTTCTTCCTCCTTCTGCTCCTCATTTGGACCTTTGGGGACTCAGTCCAGTGCTCCAATGTGGGTCTCCATCTGTATCGCCATCCCTCGTCGAATGAAGGTTCCCTCTGATCTTGCCTTCTTTGCTCACGTTTTCTTTCCTTCTGCTTCTCATTTGGACCTAGGGAGTTAAGTCCAGTGTTCCAATGTGGATTGCTGTCTCCAACTCCATCCATCACCAGATGAAGGATCTATGGTGATAAGCAAAATATTCATCAGTATGGTTATGGGCCAAGGCCAGTTCAGGCACCCTCTCCTCTGTCTAGAGAACAATCTGAGGATCTCTCCTTGGACCTGGGATCCCATTTATAATCAAGTCTCTAGTAAACCCTAAACTGACTCCCTTAGTTGAGGTATAGTCTTCCCTGATCCCATATTCATCCTTCCTCCCTCCTCCCCTCCCAGTCCCCCGAGCATTCCCCATTCCTCCCCTGCTCCCTTCTCCCAAACCCTCTCCCCTTCCAGCAATCCTCCCCCCCCCCAAAGCACCCAAGGTTACCTGGGACTCTTGTCTATTTCCAAACTCCAGGAGGAAAACTACCTGAATTTTCTTCAGGTTCACCCTCCTATCCAGCTTCTCTAGGATCACGAATAATAGCAGCAGGGGCCCTGACTTCTAGCAGAGGGCCATCGGAGGGAGGGCCATCGGAGGGAGGGCCATCGGAGGGAGGGCCATCGGAGGG